TATCAAAAAGCTCGAGGATCCCCGCTCCTCGATTATTATTATAACGCGCGAAACAAAACAGCCTGGCGGACTTTTTTTTTCCTCGTTCTGATACATTATGTAGCTTCTTCGTTGCTCGAACGAGAGGAAGAATAGATAACAAAAAAAAAAAAAAACAATATATTTCTCGCGCGCGCGCGAGGCTGCATAGTTTTAAAGCTCTACTACTACCGCGTGTGCATATGTATATGTACGAGCGGCGGCGCATCGGGATTATTGTTTTTCAAAGAAATAACAAACGTAAATTACGCTGTACATACATACAGCGAGCCAGCCTAGCACGCGTTCGAACGCTATTGTGGTCATCTCTCTCTCTCTCTATCTCTATCTCTGCTGTCTGCCTCTCGCGTGCGCGCGCGCGTATAGATATGCGAACGCGTTAATGTGTCGACGTCTATTTTAAAAATGTTCAACCTTCCACACTACTGCCAGACACAGAAAAGAGCAGCAGCAGCAGCAGCAGCAGAGAGACAGAGAGAGATACATAGCAAGTGGCATGGTATAGTTATAGTATCATATAGTATTGTAATATTGCTGCTGCGCGGCGTGTGCGAATATATTATATATAGCGCGCGGCGCATGCCACACGATCTCGCTCGCGCGCAAGCAAGGCATGTATATATAATGTGAGTCGCAGAGAGGTGCACATTACACAACCGATTCCTAAAATTAGTATTGCGATTTCGAGCGTGATGTGTGTGTGTGCGCATAGGCTATCCGACAGAGAGAGAGAGAGAGCACATTAATATTAAAGAATACATACGTGTGTGTGTGTTTCTCAACTTAGACACCGCGTGCGTTTTCTGCTGCTATACTTGCGCTATATGTATACAAATGTGTGTCGCTATCAGACTCGTCGCGGCTGAGATTAATCTTCGAACAGTATCACGCGACTCGTACAAATATCTCTCTGCTCTGTGCTCTGCCTCGAGTGCTACTCGCAATTTTGCCGTATAATATACGTATCACGCACATTTTTGCGTCATTCGAACGAGCTGTGTTCGGAGTGTACGTATACATTAGATTCGAATTCCCGAAAAGCATCGGAATCGAGAAACGAATAAATAAAAATCGATCGAAAACGATATCAACAACTGGCTCGATAATTTCGAGACTCTCTTTTAGCAAACCAAGTTTTTCGCAGCACACAGACACACGCGCGCGCGAACAATTCGTGCCCGTAAACGGCAAGGTCGAACGAACGCTGCTGCATCTCGCTCATCGATATATTTTATATTATTATTCGTTCGAAAACAGCAGCAGCAGAAAAGAGAGAGAGAGAGAGAGAAAGAAGAACCGGATGCTCGAGGAGAATCGTATTATATATTATGTACGCTGCAGACATTTCCGTTTTCAGGGATAAACAAGCGAGCAGAGAGAGAGACGATATCCTCGCTCGCGGACACACATAATAATAATAATGAATGACGATGACGACGATAATGTGTAATGTATACGATCGAAGAAATTTGCATCTCTCTAAGGTCAATCGCGCGTCGATCGACGCGCGTTATTACACATTTAAAATTCGCACGCACCGCGCGCGATACACCGAAACAATAATGGAATAAACAAGCGAGTAAACGAGCAGCGCGCGAGCCGGCTCTCGCGATCGGCTCGTCGTGTTTCTCCGATATAGGTACATAAACGTGCGCTGCAATAAAGGCGGCGCGCTCGTGCGCATCGTTTATAATTTCGTCGATGACACACGCACTTATCATAAGTATCACGAGAGAGAGAGAGAGAGAGAGAGAGAGAGAGAGAGAAATAGAGGAGAATTCGAAGGAGCTATATAAGAGAGGCGCGCGAGGAAAGAAAAGGTATACGGAGGAAATGCGTACGAGTGCCCCTCCGCGAGCTACTTGCGCTCCGCGAGCTTTTTATATCGCTGTCGTAAATAATTTTTTTCTTTACTTTTTTTTTTATATTCCCTAGAACACGTGTGCGCGCGCGCGTGTGTGTGTACTCTTTGGAGAAAAAATTTCTTCTCCTCCTCCGTACACCTCTTCGTCCATACCCCTTTTTTTATTTATTTCTTTATCTTTTCTCTTCTTCCTTTTTTTTCCATCCACTCTGTACTCCGCGCGCGCCGCGGCGCACTTTTACGACGTGACCTAAAACTCACCCTTTGCTCTTTTACTGCTTTATTACACGCGTCGGCTCGCGAGCTCCGCTGCTGCTGCTGCGTCGTCGTATCGGGGGGTTATAAGGGCAGGGCATAAAAACCGGAGTTATATCACGGAGCCTCTCGTGTGATAACGTTTTCGCGTCGTCGTGTAATAGTAGTATATATGGCAGCAGCAGCAGCTAGGACACACACACGCACAAAGAGGAGATTCGCATGGACACCTATCATGTACAACGACGACGACAACAGTACTCGCGCGCCCCTCCGTGTACGAACAACATCGTGGAGCTTGCACAGGGCGAAATGAATTGTTTATAGATATTTGAACTGCCGCCTCTTGTGTACGTAGCGTCCAGGCGAAAAAAACAACAACAACAACAGCAAGAACGACACGGTCCTGCTGCAGCTATTAAGCTTTCATGCGTGTGTGCTCGTGAACGAGATATTTTCGTTTTTTTTTTCTTCGGAAAAAGCTCGCCAGCGTACACCTTAAACCATTTTCATTTTTTTCTCTGTATATCGCGTACCGTACAAACAGTTTTTCTCATACATAATGCAAACGCCGGGTAATATACACATTATAAATAAATAAATAATCACAATTTTTATGCCTGTAAGACACATAAGTATAAAGCAGGAAGTGGCGAGGGTTGCTCTCCTATATTTAACAAATGTATAGGATATGTCATACGTGCGTGTGTGCGTATATCTCATGCGGTTTGCACACACACGAACACACATGGGCGGCGGTAGCGGTCGCGGCCAACGACCCGACTATATCATATACGTGTGCTGCAGTGCGCGCGACACAGAGCAGCCTGTCTCTCGCTCGCGCGCTCCTTCGATTGAACTCACCCACACACGTACACATAGACGTATTACAGTAGTGTAGGACATGCGTTACACCGGCAATTTATTCGGAATCGCGTTAACGTACGAGGCATTACATTTTTATTTTACCCTATATACGTTCGCGAAATTGTTTATACCGTTAAACTTGCACGTGTTGTATACATACGCGATCTCGCGCGCACTCACTCACTGGGACGTAAACTCGATTGCATCCTCGTATATATACGATATAAGGCGCGGTAGTGTATACCGGCCTTATGGGTGATTGAGAATCGAAAATGCGCGCGTCCTCCGACTTGACGCATACGCACACGCGCTCGTGGTGTACACTGTGCACGGAATACAAAGCGGTTTTATGTATTAGAATACCTACGTCACCGAATGTATAAATGTACGTATACATCCCACGAAATCGAGCTGCGCGTTACGTTCGGAGTCCGGAAGTCAAAAAGCAGCGAATTCCGTACGTGATACACGATCAATAATGATGATGCCCCGCGCTGCGCCCCTCTACTTTAGTTTCAGCTGCTGCACAGCATATACATGTATACGTGTGTGTGTTTGTGTATATTTCGCGAATACAGACATAGATCAACTAAACTAGCTCCTCGCTATACGGCTGGAGCTGCTCCGCACAGCCCAAATCTATTAAGTTACATAAATTCGTTAAAAGGCTATTATTTTCCTTTCGACGCGTTTGTGTGTATATACGGCAGCAGCGGGCAACCAATCGAGCTCTGTACCGCTGCTGCTGCTGCAAGCTCGTATTTAAGCTCTTTTCCCCCGATTCCGACGTTCGCTCTGGTATACATAGCGCATGTATATATCGGATAGTTTATAATACATTCATGGCGCCCCGGCTGTATAATGAGGCTAATCGCGATAATTAGCAATCGATGGCGGGCAAGAGAGACTACGCAGCAGCAGCAGCAGCACAGAGGGAAAAGGGATATTTTATGCAACATCTGCCCCGTGCACAATCTATATATATACCTACACACACATACACAGAGAGAGAGATACACATTAACGCGCACGGCTAACGAATATCCCAGGCACGCAGAGATTGATTATAATGCGTATGCGCGGGAGGACTGAGGAGGAAGGGACGTGCACACACAAACACAAATACAAATCGATACACATACACAGATGAGCTTCTTCGGTGTCGATGATCGATCGCGCGTATGCTTTTGGTCGTCTGTGTGTATATACATCCATATCTTTATACATTATGTATCTATAGATATCTCCCGTATAATACGTCGTGTATATCTACACACGCGCGCGCGCCTGTGTGCGTCAATCGATAATGAGCTTCTCTGGCTGTAATTACAATATAAATATATACAGATGCAATGAATTCTCATAATACATATACCTACGTAAATCCGAAGCGCTATTCATCATTATATACGTGCGTCGAATACGAGGAAACCGGGGGAAAAAAAAGGCAAGAAAGAAAGCAACGTATACAAAGATAGAAAGAAAGAAAGTATATACAGAAGATCTCGCGCGCCCGCAAGCTCTTGACGTCTCTCTCTGATCTGTGATACACGCGTGTATCATACTACACGCGTAAATGTATGTAGTCATCTTTCGCGGCGCGGGGAGGAACCCATATACCGTGTATATACATCGTGAATCATGTTCAATAGAAGAGCATGGATAGATATGTATCGAGAATCGCGAGAGAGAGAGAGAGAGAGATTACCCCGGCGTATACTACACACAATATTACATCCCACTGCGTCGCTATTTTTTTTTTGCCCCCCTTTCTACTCCCGCATTTTTCTCGCGCGTCATTTTCGTTCTCCGATATGCTCCGGCTCGGTACTGGTTATATCGAGAGAGAGAGAGAGAGAGAGATATTATTGCTGTTATTTTTATATGCATACAATAATTAGCAAAGTTTCATAAAAATATCATGTACGATCGTTGTACTAAAGTTTCGTTCTTTTCTCGCTTCCGATTGTTGCAGCGGCTGCGGGCAGACGAAGCAGAAGAAGCATCATCATCATCGTCATCATCACCATCACCAGCTGCAGCAGCACAAGAAAAGCAGCAGCAACAGCAGCAGCCATCGCAAGCGTCGGAGGAGGCGCCGCAGGTGGAGGAGGCGGAAAAGCATCGTCTCGTCTTTGTCATTCGCATCGATCGAGCATCATCATCGTCGTCCTCTCGATCTAACGGGAAAAAAGTCCGTAGAAGCTGGAGCAGAAGCAGAAGAACGAAGAAGCAGCAGCAGCGGCGGTGGTGGTGGTAGCCTACCAGTGGTTGTGGATCCGCTGCTGCAAGAGCTGCAGCGGTGGTCCGAGCTGCAAGAGGCCGCGACGAGGGCTGCGGCTGCAGTGAACGGGCTGCACGTCGACGTCGGCGGCCTAACGCGATCACCGATAATAACGGGCGGCGACCGCCGCGGCCGGACGTGCACCGCATCGCAGACAGCCGCTACTACTACTACAGCAGAACAGCAGCAGCAGCAGCGCGACGACGGAGGCGGCGCCAGTAATAACAACAACAGCAGCAGCAGTAACAGTAACAGTAAAGCCGGCACGTCGTGCACCGCAAGCGGCAGCTTCTGCTGGCGTAATAATAATTTGGAAAATCAGCAGAAGCCGAGCTGCCGTCGAAGAGAAGCAGCAGCAGCAGCAGCAGCAGTCGAGGCAGCAGCAGAAGAAGAAGAAAAGGCGCCGGCGGTGGCAGCAGTGTCGTCACTACCACTACTACTACGACTTAGTCAGCAGCAGCAGCAGCAGCGACGAGAGTCGGCAGCCGCCGCGCTTGGGAGAGCCGACAAGCAGCAGCAGCCGCAGTCGCCGCTGTGCCCATTATACAGACGGCAGAGACAGTCGCAGCAGCAGCAGCAGCAGCAGCAACTCGTTGTTGTTGTTGTTCGTGGACACGATCGACGACAACGACAACGACTACTACTACTGCAGCAGCAGCAGCGGCAGCCGTGGTCGTCCACGACAATCGAAGCAACAGCAACAGCAGTAGCAGCGACGTGCCAACGACGCAGCCTGCAGCGCGCTAGACGTTGCTGTCGTCGTCGTCGTCTTCGTTCATCCTCGTCGAAGGAGACACCACTACCGCTACTACTACCGCTACTACTGCTCGAGGCGAACGGCAGCAGCAGCAGCGACCTGCATCCGTCGCGGGTGCAGCAGCCCGCTACGATACTGCAGCAACGTCGTCGTCGACATCATGCTGCACGCGCTGCCTCGCGCAAAGGTGCTACTACTACAACTTCGTCGTGTCCACTGCTGCGGTCGTTTGATGCCCAACGAGCCAACGACGCTGCCCCAAGGACAGTGAACAATAACGAGTGCCACTCGTGACGCATGATTGCTCCTGCCTCCCAGTGCTGGTGGTGTTGTTCTCGTGGTTCTCGTTCTTCTTGTTGTTCTTGTTTCTTGTTTTTGTGCGAATTGTAATTGTTATAACGACACAACGACGAGACTGGCGAGTGTGAGAGAGAGAGAAAAATTCGACAGCAACAGCAACAACAAAAATTATAAAATAATAATTGTGCAAAAGTGTGTGTTTATTGTTTGTCAGTGAGTTAACGAGAGGCAACAAGAAAATATAAGCCTCTCTGGTGCCCGTGCGTGAAGATATATTAAAAATATATATAATAATAAAATAGTGCGACGAGAGAGTTCGAGGAGGAGAAGCCACGAGTTTTAAAAGAAGAAGAAGAAAAAAAGTTTATATAGTGCGTTGGCCTCGCGTCGAGAGGCACAAATAATCTATATAGATTACACGTATATATAAAAAAAAAATAATAAAATAAATAAATAAACCATGGCGACCATCGACGGAAGACCGGCCCAGTACGGGCTCACCCTCAAGCAGCTCCGCGAGCTCATGGAGATCAGGGGCCGCGAGGGTGTCAACAAGGTCAACAGCTACGGCGGCGTGCAAGAGATATGCAAAAAGCTCTACACCTCGCCCAGCGAAGGTACGTAAATAAACACACGCAGACGCACACTACACGGCCACCACCGCGAGAGAATGTTGTAACAATAATACATACGGAATTCATCGAATCCCGCACCTATATATAATAAATGGCATGTGGGTCTCTCTCTGCGTGCGTGCGTGCGTGCGTGTGTATATGTGTATACGTACGCACGTCGCACCTATTATAAGCCGCCGCACTTCGATAGATATATAATACATACGACACACCGTGTGTCGTGTATTACTGGCCGCGAGCCGCTATATAATGATAATCGAAGCTGTGTTGTATGCCTTGCTGCCATGCACATCGGAGGAGCGCAGCGGCAGCAGCTCGCGGAGAGAGAACGCGTTTTGCGAGGTTAAGTTTTACACTCGCTCGCGGACGCGAAAAATTTGCACGTTACTATATATAGATATAGACGTATATATGAAACTGACTACGGTAGACGCAAAGCAGGCCTACTTTCTCTCTGTCTCTCTCGCTCCGTGCGATATATATAAACGATGATGACAGTTACGCTTCTCTCGATGATTTTGTATACTTTGACGGATGTGCCTGTTATAATGACGTCCGTTAGTTCGGATCTCGGGTTTTACTATGATGACGACTTTGCGAAAGCACTCACGATGATGTTTTCGGAATTTTTTAAATGGCCAAAAGCTCTCGTACCAAATGGATGAATTTCAAATGGTTGAGAGAGACTCTTTCGAATTAGGTCTAATGTACACGATGCTCTATTTTTCAACATGTATTTTTTTTACCCATCCCCGATAGGTCTCAGTGGGTCTGCGACAGACATGCAACACAGGAGAGACACCTTCGGTTCAAATTCTATTCCTCCAAAACCACCAAAGACCTTTCTGCAGTTAGTTTGGGAAGCGCTGCAAGATGTAACGTTAATTATCCTAGAGATCGCTGCCCTTGTATCTCTTGGTCTCAGCTTCTATCATCCTGCAGATGAAGAAGAGGGTAAGTTGAAGTTGTCACGAGTGTGTCGGCTTGTTTATTTTGCCAATGAGCTGCTGTTGAAAAAAGAAAGCTAATTATACATCTTCCATTGCAGATTCTATTGGTACTTTAGAAGATGACGAAACAAAATATGGCTGGATCGAAGGTCTGGCCATTCTGATCTCAGTTATTGTTGTCGTCATAGTTACTGCCTTCAATGATTATTCAAAAGAAAGGCAATTCCGTGGCCTGCAAAGTAGGATAGAGGGAGAACACAAATTCTCTGTCATACGACAGGGTGAAGTGAAACAGATCTCTGTCTCTGACATCGTAGTTGGTGACATATGTCAAGTTAGTTTATTCGCTCATTATTCACAATCTTTTTCTATTTTAAAACAAAAATTCTTAATGGAACTCACTTTAAATTTACAGGTCAAATACGGTGATTTACTGCCAGCCGATGGTATTCTTATTCAAAGCAATGATCTCAAAGTAGATGAATCTAGTTTAACTGGAGAATCTGATCATGTTAAGAAAGGTGAATCATTTGATCCCATGGTACTTTCAGGTGAGTCAGAGAACAATCTTCATTATTTGATTAATTTATTGTTTTTGGAGGGAACTTATGAATCTAATTATTATTCATTTTCCTTTCAGGAACTCATGTCATGGAGGGTTCTGGCAAGATGTTGGTCACTGCTGTGGGTGTTAACTCACAGGCAGGTATCATTTTCACTCTTTTGGGTGCAGCTGTTGACCAACAAGAGCAAGAGATCAAGAAAATGAAAAAAGGTACGACGCGTCCACTCACCGCTGATACTATTATTACAAAAAAGTCAGACGAGCAAATGAAAATGATAAAAAAATACTCAGAGCAAAATCTCATCTTGCTCTCAGGTTTGCCAGTTTACCCCTGCTTTATGTTTTTGTGCATATGCAGCAGCTGCAATTAATTCTGAGGAAAGAGATTTCACTACTAGAATTAATTGTTTTCTGTTTTGAAATGAATCAAAATGGTATATACCCATCAATTTTCAAAGTACTTCTCTTTCTTCTCTGTGATATTTTACTGTTTGTTAATTCTCAAATAATTGAAAAACCAAATGAATAGTTGACAATGCAGCATGGTTTTATATTTCGAATCTCGAATTTTACTGTTATGTTAATTTTATATACTAATTTACCGATTGGGAATGATACTTATCTCAAAGTTTGTATTAACCCCATTCAAAAACCCTGAATTTTTGATCCGTTTATTTAGACAATTGTCTTTAGACCCTTTTTCGAAATTGAACCCAATTATTGGCATGATACATTTTACAAGTTCTACTACATCTTGTTCTACACCCTACTTTTATACTACCTGATTAGCTTCAACAAGTACTTGACAAAGATCGAATTTTCAAATCACTTGCTGGGCCGTCTCTCGGTACGAATCTCAACGAAAAAATGTGTCCGCTTTGCATCGTAAGAGACCAACAATTTTACAACATACTGATACTGAACCATGGCTATATAAATGTTTTTCTCGAACCTACTCTTATACAGTTTATATTCATTAGCTCTTTACTATTTGTGCATACTTCTCATCATCTGTCAGATCCCCCTCGAGTCCTTGTAATTATATGTATGTGTTTGCCAAGTGTTGCTTTCATCATTTTACGCTGTCTCTTGCTCTCTTACTATCTCTCTGTCTCTATCTCTCAACTTCATGCTACTTTTATTACTTCATACCCATAGGAATGTGTCGTAATTACAGCAGCGTAAAATGATTAAAATCCAACTGTTATTATTCGAGTTTCCTCACCCACACAGCGATCATGAAAATAAAATCCGGTCTCTCCGCGTCACTTACATCAATCGAGCAAATAGTTCACTAAGGCGCTCGTAACATTTTCTCCTCATTTTACGATTTACGTTTTTTAAAGTTGTTGCGATTATGTGTCGAGACTCTCTTGGTGAACTAATTGCTCGAGAATTTTTCTACTCTCACATTAATGCCGGCGTTTTAGGTGAAAAAAAAAAAAAAAAATTAAAAATAATTGAACCAAATGACCCGAAAAATAATTGACGACTAAGGAGCGGATATCGAGAAGGATTAATTTAGTTAAGAAATCAATAATTTAGAAGACTTGCTAATGAATTTGTGTTTTGCATGCGTTTTCTTATCTAGAGGCTAAAAAGCAGCGGAAGAAGAAGTCGCTATCAGGTGATTAAACTTTTCACTTGTATATTTTTTTTATTTCCTTTTTTTTTCTCTTATTATTACGACGTACAGCTGAAGAAAATACTGGTTACACTTTAACTATTAATTTTTCGGTATAATACATGGTGCAAAAAAAAGGGAACTATTATAAGCTATCAGCTTGGAAGTACAAACGAAGACAGATCTATTCGTTTAACGTAGTAACGAGCGGATATCATATCACCTTCATTCACCATAATTATGGCCTTTTATACAAATAATAACTATATTTTACTGTTTACATTTTGGCTTGGGAACCATAAGAAGTTATTGTTTGTTCATTAATGACTATTTTATAATCTATCTGTTTTTAAGACTCAAATAATTACCATCCTGTTTGCATATATTATATTACATTGGTGGTCTGGTTTTCCTTTTATGCATAATATATATATTTTTTTTATGATACTCAATTAACCGATTTATATTAGTGTCTTGACTCTTGCATTTTGACTTTTATTCTTACTTGACATGACTAACCACTTTCCTGTTTTGTATAACGTTTTTGGACCTGACCAGATTTTTAATTCAGCATTTTATACCTGAATTTTCTCAAATTTCCATGTGTAGTTTGTTTTTTTTCTTCTTTTTTTATTTTTTATTTTTACGCGCGAAGTTTTCGTTAACGTTGATCAAGTAAAACAGAACTGCGAGCAGCAGCAAGCACACTTGGCTCGAAGTAACGAAAACTTCACGCCCACACGAATTCTACATTGGCATTTTGAACGTAGTTAAAGTTTGTACCGTCTCGCTCTCTCTCTCTCTGGTGATAAGTCGGTAGGTTGCATGTGAAGTTTCCTCTATACTCTTCTTGTTGTAACGTCTAAGCAATGTTTAATTCCGAAACTTTATCGAGCAAACTAAAAATGAAAAAAAAATGCCACTGTGGATTAATAAATTAAAAAAAAAAAATAAAAAAAGAAACAATTCGCTTTAACATGTCCGCAATTAAATTAAAAAAAAAAAAAAAATCATCGATAACCCTGGACAAAGTTATCCGACATTGTTTAATATCTTGAACGCACAAAAAACAAACGTATCATCATCTAGACGACGACGGCGGCGACATCGGCAACAGTCACGCCCTGAGCAAGCAGCACTCGGTGGACGGCGGCGAGAACCACGCCGCGGCCAAGCAGAGCGACGACAGCGGCAAGAAGGAGAAGAGCGTGCTCCAGGCCAAGCTCACCAAGCTCGCGATACAGATCGGTTACGCCGGCTCGACAATTGCCGTGCTCACCGTCTTCATACTCGTCACCCAGTTCTGCGTGAAGACCTTCTACATCGACCAGCTGACGTGGAAGCCGAGCTACGCCAGCGACCTGGTCAGGCATCTCATCATCGGTGTGACGGTGCTGGTCGTGGCGGTGCCCGAGGGCCTGCCGCTGGCCGTCACACTCTCGCTAGCTTACTCCGTCAAGGTAAGAGGTTTTTTTAACCGAGCTATTATATCCTGTATAGTCGACGGACACGTTCACTAATTATTTTGTTATTTTTGTCGGCACGCAGAAAATGATGAAGGACAACAATCTTGTGCGCCATCTGGACGCGTGCGAGACGATGGGTAACGCCACTGCCATCTGCTCGGACAAGACGGGCACCCTGACGACCAATCGCATGACCGTGGTGCAGTCGTATCTCTGCGAGAAGCTCTGCAAGACAATACCCAACTTCAGCGACATACCCGCGCACGTGGGCCAGCTGCTCGTCCAGGCGATATCCATCAATTCGGCCTACACGTCGCGCATCATGCCCTCGCAGGACCCGACCGAGCTCGCGATGCAGGTCGGCAACAAAACCGAATGTGCCTTACTCGGCTTCGTCGTGGCTCTCGGCAAGAGCTACCAGACAGTGCGCGACGACCAGCCCGAGGAGACCTTCACGCGCGTCTACACCTTCAACAGCGAGCGCAAGAGCATGTCCACCGTCGTGCCGAGGCCCGGCGGCGGCTATCGGCTCTTCACCAAGGGCGCCTCTGAAATCATCATGAAGAAGTGAGTGCGCGCGATCGCTGTATCGCTCGGCGTATCGGTCAAAAAATTATACCAAATTTCTCAAACCCCCGTGTCTGCTTTCCCATGTTTACAGATGTGCCTTTATATACGGTCGCGACGGGAACTTGGAGAAATTCACGCGTGACATGCAGGACCGCCTCGTGCACAGCGTGATCGAGCCGATGGCCCGCGACGGCCTGCGCACAATTTCCATCGCCTATCGCGACTTCGTGCCCGGCAAGGCCGAGATCAATCAGGTGCACATCGACAGCGATCCCAACTGGGAGGACGAGGCGAACATCGTGGCGAATCTCACCTGTCTGGGCATCGTCGGCATCGAGGACCCGGTCAGGCCCGAGGTGCCCGAGGCCATCAGACAGTGCCAGAAGGCCGGTATCACCGTGCGCATGGTCACCGGTGACAACGTCAATACTGCCAGGTTCGTTTTTTTTTTTTTTTTCATTTATAATTTATTTATCATCGTCATTCACTTCTATATCCTTCCATTCCGCTCGATTAAAAATTGTATCAAAGGACAGCACGTGAGCGCGCTGAGAAAGAGTATCGAAGGTTCGCTCGTTGTGGGCATGGGTCATCGTGGCGAGAGTTCACAATTGCAGTTGCATATAGATAGAGATCGAGATAGATGGAGTGAGAGAAAAAGAGAGCTACATTATATTTGTTAAAAATGGACTGTTCCACTCGTGCTCTCGCTTACCCGCTTATTCTCTCTCGTTCCCTTGCTCTCTCTCGCTCTCTTTCTCTTTCTCTTTTTCATACACGCTGAGGACGTTTATTAGCCTCGATGCTCGCGACCTTGAACGAAGTCGTCCGACTACGAAGATGACTACGTATATATATATACGTGTATACCCACACTCGCTCGCGCGGTAGACACACATATATGCCGCTCTGCTGCTACTGCTGCTATATATACGTGCTCGCGCAACGGGTTGGGTAAGCTCGAGCGCGCGCCGTGCAGGGTAGTAATAGTAAGCGAAACGCGAAAGATCTTAGCCGCTTGAAAAAATCAATATTGCCGGCCTCGCCCCTTTACTACTCGCGCTCTCTCTCTCTCTCACTCACTCACTCTTCCTCCCTCTCACTCACTCTCTTTCGACCTCCTCGTTCGTTCATACATATATAGCGATACACCCTCTCATATGTATATATGAGTATATTTGTGCACTGCACGTATGCAAACATATGTGTGCGCATACGTGTCGAGGCTCTATATTATGTGGATACACTTACATGCATATGCAGCTCCGATAAATCGGATGTATTTGTATTTGTATGCGATTCAATAATTTCTCCATTCGCGTTCTGTTTTTCATTCTATTTCTACCTTGTCGTCAGGTCAATCGCTTTGAAATGCGGTATTCTGAGGCCCACCGACGACTTCTTGGTCCTCGAGGGTCAGGAGTTCAACAAGAGGATAAGGGACGCGAAGGGCGACGTGCAGCAGCACCTCCTCGACAAGGTCTGGCCGAAGCTGCGCGTGCTGGCGCGATCCTCGCCGACGGACAAGTACATCCTCGTCAAGGGCATCATCGACAGCAAGGCGTCGGCGAATCGCGAGGTCGTCGCCGTGACGGGCGACGGCACGAACGACGGCCCGGCCCTGAAGAAGGCCGACGTCGGCTTCGCCATGGGTATCGCCGGTACCGACGTCGCCAAGGAGGCGTCGGACATCATTCTCACGGACGACAATTTCTCGTCGATCGTCAAGGCCGTCATGTGGGGCAGGAACGTGTACGACAGCATCGCCAAGTTCCTGCAGTTCCAGCTGACCGTGAACGTAGTCGCGGTCATCGTCGCGTTCATCGGCGCCTGTGCCGTGCAAGACTCGCCGCTCAAAGCTGTACAAATGTTGTGGGTCAATCTCATTATGGACACGTTAGCCTCGCTGGCCCTGGCCACGGAAATGCCTACGCCGGATCTGCTTCTCAGAAAGCCATACGGCAGGACGAAACCCCTCATCTCCAGGACGATGATGAAAAATATACTCGGTCAAGCGGTTTACCAGTTAACCGTTATTTTTGCGCTTCTCTTCGTTGGTGAGTAATCGAGATCCAACTGTTTCCCTCTTTTAATTTAGGCACGTTGGTAACAAGGGCTTTTTCATTTTTTTTCGTGCAGGAGATAAAATGCTGGACATTCCTTCTGGCCGAGGAGTAGCAGCAGCCGGTGGCGGGCCCACGCAGCACTTCACGATTATCTTCAATACTTTTGTGATGATGACGCTGTTCAACGAATTCAATGCCAGAAAGATTCATGGCCAGCGAAACGTCTTCCAAGGAATATTTACCAATCCTATCTTTTATTCGATTTGGATTGGAACTGCTTTGTCGCAGGTAAATGCTCGGCAAATCAAATTAAGCGTATCTTGCTAATGAGGGATAATTAAACATTAATCGATCTAATTTTATGCGCACAGGTTGTCATTATCCAATATGGTAAAATGGCGTTTAGCACAAAAGCTTTAACCTTAGAGCAGTGGCTTTGGTGTCTATTCTTTGGATTCGGCACATTGCTGTGGGGTCAATTAGTAACGACGATTCCTACTCGCAAGATTCCCAAGATCTTTTCGTAAGTCATACTCCAGCATATTTATACACTCTACCTTATACATTTTTTATTAGGTGATAACCTTATTAACAAGCAATTAACATACACATCATAAAAGTGGTAATATTACCACACGTGTACACACTTTTTCTCTACAATAATTCTACTTTATCTTCTACTTACTCATTTTACTTCCAGATTTTTGAATTAACACTTTAATTTTTTCTTTTTGTCTCAATTGAGATAAAATGAACACTTATAATTTATTTTATTTCTACTTTTTTTCTATTGATTTTTTCTTTCAAATATTTATGAGTAACCTTTAACGAGGGAAGAAAGCTGGCGCATGGTGCCTCTATTCAATACAATACATTGAACATTTTACTCTTATAGAAAAAATAATAATAGCTACACTCAATGCTACTTCTTTATTACATAATCTCACTTTGATAAATTTACAACAATTTTTCCAGTATAACATTTTATCTACAATTTTATTACCAATCAATTGCTGAATTAGCTGCTAATCAATGAGATTAATAATTAGCATTCAAAATTATACTATGTAATTGTAGTCCTCACCTGGACCTATCTTGTAGTACGTGGTAGTGACCTTTGCATGCTAGAGTAACAAATCCACATAAAATAGTTCACGCAGTTACGCTCACGTTCATTTAATAACTTGAACTAACACTAATATACTCAACTTTTTTAGTGACTACAATTTGATACGATAGATTTCCTGCTCTCATTTTCCTTTTATACTCAAGCCCATCAAAGAATCCTGCTTTTTCCACTTTTTTTTTGTTGAAAAATTTAAAAAAAAATCACTGTATGTCGCATGCTTTCCTTCTTTTTTTTTAATCACCAAGAGACGTACATCAAAAAGTCTGCGTACTTGTTTGTGAACTTTTTGAATTTTCGAAATTAGCTAATTTTCATTTCGAGAACAAGTTAAACAGCTCATGTGATTTCACATGGGTTGTCTAAAAAAAAAAAGAATCAATTAAGCTTTGTTTAAAAAATTATGTTATGCCTTTTCCTTGCTTTTTTTAAGACTATGGAAAACTCTACTTCAATTCTCATTCGTGACTCACGAGCGAGAATCCGTACTCGACATTTTTTTCAATTTTATTTTGCATACAAACAACCTAATCCTGTTGCAAACAGACCATCGAAAAATCGATGCAACTGATGTCAACGAACTCCAAATAAAAATTTATTTGTAGATCCGAGAGCATCGCTACTATGCAACAGCGAGCCGAATCGACCGACCTTGTTTATCCTGAACCTGATCCCATTCCCAGCACGTCCTACGATACCTGAGAGCTTACTAACACGTGTAATGAAAACAAAATGATTATCAAGTAGCCCAATGAAAAAGTGTGCAGCTGTAATCTTCGGAAGATTTAAGGCTTGGTTTAATAGAAAAAAAGAACAGTACATGAACTAACAGCGTAACTAGTGTATAATCTAACACGATTAAACGAATCACGACACACACACAGAAAAAAAAACGAAATAGTTTTAAAAGTATTTTGATTCTTGCACTGGGATTGCGAATTTATATCCTATGGATATGTATAATTGTGCGAATAAAAAAAATGTTACTAGTACATATAACTCGAATGAGTTTTTAAGTAAATCGATCGAAGTTATGAACTATATTTATACACTTGTGTATAGAGATTCGATGTCCGCTGCATGACAGAACCTGTTATGTAGACGCGTTTATCTGTTTATAGACTAGAATCTCTAAAATTAGGAGGTTTAACTTAATTATTAACTAAAATTGTAATATCATTTCATTCATAAATAAATTAGAGATTTTTTTTTTAATTTTTCAAATCAAATAGTCAAATTAGAATCGATCATTATAAAAGATGAGAAATATTATTCATGACAGTCATATAAATATATTAGTGTGCTCATGATTTAGAACAAAATAATAAAACTTATACTAACTATCATAATTATTGTGTACACAACAGTATGATTTGAGCGTGCAGGTAACAAGGTATACATACCATACATTAACTGATAATTTTTTGCATCTTATATTTCATATGTATGATGGAAATTATTTATAAGTACATGACCATGAGGTTTAACAAATTTAGACATAAGATTATTGAAAGAATTCACCATCACCTAGGCACTACCTGTGTACTACACGAAAACCATTCGCATCTTTCTCTCTCTCTCTCTATCTATCTTTCTTATACTATTACTATCGTTTCTTCTTCTACACATGATTTTTCTCTCTACGTCAAGTTTTTTTTTGTTTATTTTCACTAACTACTACAACTATAATTACTACTACTTAAGTAAGGATTAACTGTTCTCTCTGTGGAGCAGCGAGTAAGTTAATGAATATTATACTATTATATATTTGCCATTTATGATCATTAAAAGCTCACGAATCATGAATCGCCAAATAAAAACGCAGCTCATTTATCATTGCTGTAAATGCTCGGTAACGGTAAAAGGCATATTGTCAATCAACCTTCTTTCTTCTCATTTGAATCATCGTACAGTCGTTGTCCATCGCATTTACGACTCTTTTTTTTTTGTTATTACTAAAAGTTCATCACTTTGGTTTCATCGTTATTTTATCGTTTTTCGTCGCCAACGATTTGTAAATGAGGCTATAAAAGTAATGTCGTTAGTGCGCGGGGCATTTAAAAAAGCCAACGCTAATAGCTTAATGTAGCTTTTGAAACGTTTTATATATCACATAGCTTTTAGGTCATTTTTTTGTAAATCAAGTCTTTATCGGCTTTCAATTTCATTGTTTTTTTTTTGGTAATTAAAAACGAGACGACGACAATTCGTTTCGATTGAAGAAAATTACTTTGCTCTTTTTTGGAAATTTTTAGACAGTAAAAGTCTTGCTCTTCGAAAATCACAAAGAAACAATAGAAAATTTTTCTCAAGATAAAGTCTCATTTTAAAATCTTTTGTAGGCATTTTAGCGATATTCATTAAACAGTAATTATTATACTGGTCTCTTATTACTATCCTCCGATTATTTCTTACTTTCCACCCTTACCTTTATTTCTGAACTTTTGAGTTATTTTTATACTCCTCGAAGTATATAAAAAAAAATACGTACGGCGTTACTCCGATGGAAGGGAGTCAGATCGAAAGTTAAAAAAAAATCTATTGAGTCACCTTCGGACAGATAATGATAATGAGAGGAACGAAGGAGAAGGAAAACTCGTCTAAATTTCAGTTTATTCGTCGAACGTGTAGATGTGTGCGTTTTCACATACTTGGCAAAAGACAGAGAGACGGCGGCGTTCACCGAGAGAACAAAAACTAACTAACAACAAAAAAAAAACTAATCACAAAACTAAAAAAAAAAAGATTAAAAGGAGATTTGCAGAAAGGCGCACTGCCCGTAATGCAAGAGAAAGAGAGCTAATTATAAAGAGGAATATTTGGTTTTAATGTTTTTGTAAAAACAGATGGGGTCGAGGCCAGCCAGATGATATTGGCGCAATCAATTTGGGAGATGAGAAATACGATCCGGACACGGATAAAAAGCCTCGAGCTGGACAAATTCTCTGGATACGTGGTCTGACACGACTGCAGACTCAGGTAACTATCCCTAGCTCACTCTCTATCGCTCTATCTCTATCTATCTCTCTATTCTCTCTATCTACTTCTATCTCTATCTCTCTATTTCATTCTCTATCTCTATCTATCATTTACGACGATATTTTATACTTAATATCACTTCATTTTATTCGATTAGATGACGAGAATAAAAAAAAGTTTAACATTTCAAGGCCTTCACTGCGCCATGAGATATACAATGTCATTTTTAAGAATATAAGTTACTATTATTATAGCGATTATGATTTAGACTTCGATTTCAGGAATTGCAGGATAATACGCGGATAATTAAGCATCAAATAAGTTACTTTTATCCCTCTCATTTTCTAAACATAATACTTTCTCGCGACTTCACAAAGAATACCTTCTCTGATTTTTTTTCGCACTCGTTACCCCTCTATCATTACTTTTCACTTCTATATCTATAATACTTACTCTCTGGTGTCGATGCTTATGTATCGATATTTTTATTTTAACTTAATCATAATTTTTTTTTTCATTATTTTCATTTTCTATGTCTAAATGATTCTGTTCTGTAAAATAAAGCGCGATTCCATCACGGAATCGGGTTCTTAGCATTCAAAGAAAATGAGTTAATTATGCACTCGAATGAACGAGGTTTGCACGATTTCTCGTTTAGGAATTCCTGAAAGATTTAACGTAACCTTGCAATGTTATTCAAATTTATGAAAAAGTCAGACTCGATTGAAATGATTTTTCTATTTTTTTTTATTCGTGTCTATTGAAACGCAATATTTAACTGATTCATCAGGAGTTTCTGCGGGAAGATTTTTCACTGTTTTTCTGACACGGCGATAATATCGCGAATAAAAATCATGCGATTATCGTAAGAAAAAGAAAAAGAAAATAATAAGAGTGCAGGAAAAATCCCGGGTATAATGAAAGATTAATTGTCAAGTTAGTGGCACGTACCTCGCCAATCACGAAGCAGTCTTTTACATTATTTTCTATTTATTTATAAATATGTAAGATACAATCCTCTCTTTTGAATCAAAATATTTCCGCGGTCTTTTCAGAAAATCTAAAAAGTACTACAATACATTTTTTATCAGTAGAAAGAGCATTTGTCATGACTTTGTTATTACTTTTAGTGCAATTCTGAATGATAGATTACTTTTACTTCAATATTTTTATGTGTGAAATCGCACTTCCGGCAACAATTACTTTTTTCAAGACCTTACTTTTCCGCGCTCTATCTTATTTACACGAATTTCTATATGTTTGTAAATAATTTACTATTCTGAGAAAGTTATTTTATTTTACTTATGTAGCATATTATATAAAAAAAATGAATTAAAGCAAATGATATAATATATATTAATGAGAGTTCATCCAGCGATGTGAAGAAATCAATAAGCTCGAAATAGAGTATGTAGACAAAGTTATTATATTAATAATGTTACTCGTGCGCACGAGCCTCCCTCACTAATGGACAAATTATGTTTGGTTTTTACATACTTTTCAAAAAGCTTCTTATTGGAATTTTGAGAAACAAAATTTTAATACAATTTGAAGCAATTAATAGTTATTTTTGCAGCAAAATTCAGAAATTAAATGTTTTATACGTACAGCGTCAGGAATATTCGTGGGCACTGCGTAAATCGATGAGTTTAAAAAACTAGCTTATAAACAATTATTTGCTGTTAAACGTAATTAAACAAGATTCTTTCGAAGTTTTAAAGTCAAGTATGATTTGAAACTTTGTGTATGATAAAAAAAAATAACGCATGATTATTTTAAAATATAGATAAAAGTAATACAGTAAAGTGCGAATTTTCGGTCTTGAACAACGCACGTTCAATTGACAAGAGGAGCTAATTAAGAACCAAGTAGAAATGGTCCACACAGTCCTCAACCAGTTTCTCTGTCTATCTTTCATTATCTTCTACCTGTTTTTCTATTCTATATTTTTAATGTTATTTATGTAAAATTATATACTTTCGATTACATGAAATGCTTAAATAGATGAACTTTTATATAAATAGATATCAGTATTTTAACGTTGAGTATAAAGTATTCATATGTCTGTCTATTATTTTAAAATGCTTTCTTTTTTTACACTTTTTTTTTGGTATCAAGTGAGTGTATAAAATTGAGGTTAAATTATAATTACTTAACTTCATGCTATCGAGATTTAGCACAATTTAAAACTTCGAAGAACGCAAAGAATTTCTTCGATAATTTTTTCTTTTTCATTTCAATAATTGAGCGTAAAAGTCCATTATATTTGCATGAACAAATAAAGAAGTATTGTGATTATTTTATTATGGTCCAATTGCGCATGCACATATATTAGCACTTTTGAGACTTATGAGAAATTTGTTCAAATAGCAAACATTAAAAAGCCGATTGGAAATCGATTAACCGGAAGTGCGTAGCGCGTTTATTATGTTCCTATTATTATTAATTATATCATATACCGAAAAGAAAGGAATGTCCGATGGACATGCGAGAGAAGCAACAGTGTTGGAATTCTACACGCATGAATGGGCAAAGTTGCGTGAGTGCGTTAATTATCAATAATATGATTTACCTTTTTTTTTATTCATATAAGATTTATTCAGAAACATTCATTGAGGATATTTTTTTTTTATACAAAATAAGAAAAAAAAACAATAATCTTAAGTGAGAAAGCAGAAACACAACGACGGCTAGCATAAGCTAATCATATCAAATTGAATGTGTAACCTACTTTCAGACGAGCAATAGAACTCTGGTGCAGAATGTATCTGTGACAGGCAGATCCCCCTCTCAGGATTACTATATGGTTAGTCCGCAAGTCTCTCCAATTTTCCGCATTGTTTGGCCGTCTATTAATATTACTTATAATTAATCTTGGTTTTTATGTTTCTTATATTTATTTTATTTTACTTATTATTATTATTATCATTTAATTTTTGCCTATTTAAATGGAACGTATATTGATTTGTTTTCCTATTAATCTCTATATATTTTCCAATTTTTTATTTTACTTTGCGTCGCGCCTTGAAGAACACGCAAATTTTTTATCTCGATTCCGAATTATATTTTTCTTTGATATAAATATAAATCACTTCTGCCTCTCTAAATTATTTTTTTTTATTTGACACTTTAAGTCTTTTTATACACTGCATTTTTTGGTATATGAAAAAAAAGAAGACTCTTCTCAACTTGTTTATAATTTTTTTTTATTTAAATGTCGTATGCGATATTACCGCTTTTTACGAGGCCACTCAAGTTTTTCATTTCGCCCTGGCTCGTGACAACTTATCCAATAAAATCCGATCCCGAATATTATTTTCTTATTTTTTTATTACGTTTTCACGCTTTTTTTATTGTCACAATTTTTTTCCCCTGGAACTATATAATTTTGCAGCATTTATAACTTATGAATTTACTAAATGTGAGTTTATTTTCTTTTTATTCTCAAACTTACTCGATGATATGTTGCATGCATGCAAGCGCGAAAAAATTGGCGCTGAAATATATATATACATATGCCTCGTTTCGTGTATAAAAATAAGTAAAACGAATGAAGAATTATTTTCTTTTTTATTACTATCATCATATAAATAAATGAATGTGTTACGTTATATACATATATATGATATAATATAGCAGCGGTGTGTTTGATGTAGCGAAATTGGAGATATTCACAATTCATTGACTTATTCACACGTGCACACGATGATCTTCGCGTTCGGCCATTATCGATGTCTTTTCTTAATTTTCGCATTGGTTTCATTTATAGTACATGCGTTTCTTTCATGATTTCAACGTGTCATTTTTCATTGAGTAAATGGGCCGTTGATCAGATATCTCATATTTTCAAAAAATTTCAAAATATCAATATTCTGTGCAATTTTCACGCAACGCGGAGAACGCAGTGTGTTATTGTGACATCTCCATTTTACGAATTTTTTTTTCTTCTAACGACTAACGCTATTGTACACATACGTTGCCATGTATTATATGCCAATTGCTCATGTATATAAGTATACATTAATGTGCTTACGATATGTGTTACATAATGTTTATTATTTCATATATTATACAACTTTATGTAAAAGAATATTAGTTTTTTTTTCAAGTTTGACGCCGCAAATCTGTATCTTTTCACGTGAGCGACGCGAGAGACATTCTTTCTGTCGTGTCTCGCGCTTCTTTTTAACGCATGACTTTTCGTGAAAAGATGAGAGATGAGGTTTTTCCACGACAATGGATGGAGACGTAAAATTTTTTGTCCTTTGTCGATTGTGAACAAAGTCTTGAGTTTAACGCTGTACATAACTTTTCTTTTTGTAAAAAAAAACTAAATTATATATTTCAATCGTATGAATGTGTTTATCGCGAGTATACGCATTATCATCACAGTCGCTTATGTTTGTTGAAGATCTTTTCTCTACAATTGACATAAGTCAACTATTTTTCACTTACTTTATTCAATTTCTCAAATTACTATTATATATATATATATATCTTTCGTCCTTTCTGACGACGAGTAAATACCTTTGCTATCAATTCTAACCATTTTAACTTTGACTTGTACATATTATACTATCTTTTTATCTCAAATTGGTAACAAAATTAAGCAATGTCATCAATTTTTGTACAAAAAAAAAGAAATTAAAAATTACATTCGCAGAGTAACTGTTCAATTATAGAAAATGTACAATCACATTATCAATCGCAGGACAAACGAAGCGACTTCATCGTTGACGTTTTAATCGGAAAAGTGCCATGCATTAGAATGAAAAAAGAAACATTATTTTTTTGTTACGCGGTTTTGTCTCGCAACACATTTCGAGGAATGGTGATGATTATAATTGTTTCATTGCATCGTTAATTAATTAAACGTGACTTGAGCTTGATGATAGACTTGATTGATAATCCAATTTATCGTTTTGTTAGCCAGTGGAACCCATTCGAGAGACTGAGGTATAAAGTGGTGGCAGTCTTACTTAATTCGCCGCCAGACAATC